TTCCCCAGCCAGCATGGCTGGCTGAGGAATTCTGGGAGTTGAAGTCCACACATCTTAAAGCGGCTGAGGTTGAGAGACACTGGTCTAGACAGTATTTGCAAAGTATGTTTACTGTCTTTGAATGTAGAGGTCCTACATGGGGCCACCCGGAGACTTTTAGAGTGGGACAGCTGTAACAAACCATCTTCATCATCATCATTGACAACTAATAGGCATCACTTCATTTCTTTGGCATGGATTTGAGAATATGGCACGCTATCTTTGCACACCAAGCAGTTAAGCTGAATCACTTGCTCACAGATATCTGGCAAGCACTACGCAGAGGATTCCTGATTTCCCTACCCCACCCCTTTGCAAATCCCCCTAACCGCGGACAGTAAATTGCTTTGCTGGATCAGCCCAACCCACGTGTGATTCTAGCTCCAACTCCCTCCAACCGGGGTTAAACTTCAGCCCCGGGATTCCCTGCCAGCATGGGGGAATCATAGGAGCCGCTCCCACCTTTCTGGAAAAGCTGCCCAGGTTTGTCATCACTGCCCCACTTTTTATAGGGAGCCCACCCACTTTTTGAACAAGGACCTGAATTCAACTCAGGGGTCGACATGGGTTGGAGTCAAAAGATCTCCTCATAATGAAGCAAGGAAGGAGGGAGGCTGGCTGAACTCCAGCCTTTAAGCCCAGAACTGCTACTCGCATGGCAAAGATGCTTTTTAGCTTGCCAGGGCTGGCCAAGGGAGGATAGGGAGCCCCTGACCCTCCTGGCAGCTCTCAGCTCTCTTAGGCTGAGGGCACTTCAAATAGTCCACGTTGATTGAATGAGGGGAGGTCTAGCTAGGTGGCAAAGCCTGGGCTGACTTGGAAAAAGTCAGGAGGGTCAGATCTGTTTCGTGCCTGAATGGGAGACCACCAGAAAAGCCACAGACTAGACTGGGAAGGCAAAGAAGCATTCCGGGAAAAGCCGTGGCAAACCATTCCAGCATCGTTGCTACGAAAAGTTGGCAATCAGCAGAAGCTCAGCTCTGAAAGGGAGACTGCAGGGCTACTGCTACTAGTTCTATGGCTATGACTAAGAGGAGGTTTACTCACCTGCGTGCAGTTCCTGTGAGTCCCAGGCAAGTCTTATTTCAAACCACACTTAGAAATATAATAAATATATCAATCCCCCTTCCGGCTGCCTCACATGTCATTCACCTGGACTCCAAGGACCTCTTTTGAGTTAGTAGCTGATCCACCGCCAGCCAGAGTCCCCCTCTTGTTCTGCTTCCTTTTAATTTCACAATCTTTCTCCTCTTGCCTTATTCTGCCTCCAAAAAATCCTATTTTTTATCTTATCTAGCACTCACTCATCCCTTTTTCCTCCTACTGATGGCTCTCAAATTCTTCCTCAATTTCTTTTTCTGTGGTCTTCCAACTTGTGGTCAGGGATGATGGGCTTTGGAGTTGAACAGCCTCTTCTCCCATCTCTGTCCTGCTAAGAAGTTGAGTGTCATTTTCCTCTCCCATCCTCTATCAATTACATGCTGGTCCATCTAACTCAGTGTTTCTCAAACTTGGTCACTTTAAGATGTGTGGACTTCAACTCCTAGAATTCTCTAGCCAGCATGGCTGGCTGGGGAATTCTGGGAGTTGAAGTCCACACATCTTAAACTGGCCAAGTTTGAGAAACACTGATTAACTGATCCATCTTCATTCATTATTACTCATCTCTCTTTCCAACATCTAGCATCCTCTTATCAATATTTTTAAAACTTATTGGCTACCCATTGGGCTAGACTGCATTATATTCACATTGATCTCCCGTCCCTTCCACTTTCCTCCCTCTCTTTCCTTTTTTTAACCGTGCCCACTTCATCCAAGATAATGCATTGTTTTAGCTATCTTTGTAGGAGAACCAGGTTAGTTTAGGGTAGCCATAACTCAGAAGGAATTTGGTAGCACTTTTTCAGACTCACCATACATTTTATTCAAAGCTTTCACGAGCTACCTTGCACTTCATCACTGAAGAAAGCTGCAGGTCATGAAATCATCTGCCGTTGAATTAAATGGTCTGGAAAGATGCTACCCCACTCCTGATTTGAAGCTATCTTTGTAACTCGTAGCTGTTCATGTTTATATAGTACAATTAATCTTTCCCCTCTAGCGTGCCTGCTCTTCTTTTATGTCTTCTGGCCCCGCAAATTAGATTACTCGAGCTAATCTGAATCAAAAGAATATTAAAAAAAAACACACCTTTGAGATCAGATCTGCCTTTTTCCTACAAGCTAGGTGCGCCTGGAAGCTTCTAACCTCAGGGAAGCACCTGGGAAGGGGGAACCTTTTCCAATATTCGCTGTTCCCAAACTGGACCTGTTCGATTCCACTTGGCTAGGATGGCACAAACCTTCAGAACATCAACTGTCCTCCATCGGTGGGTCTAACTAATTGTGAAGATCATCTACCCTGGGTCACCGTATCTTATAGCAGCCAGTTCTCTAGATTAGCTTTGTGCTTGGTCAGGAACCCCTCTTTTCTGCAGACTGAGTTCCTTCTGAGTGACTCTTAAAACGTCCTTTCTCTGCATTCATCCCTCATCCTTTCTCTTTACCTCCATCCATTCAAATGTTCTCTCCATCTGTCCCAGTCTAGCACTCTCTCTCTCTCTCTGTCTCTCTCTTCAGCCAAACGTCATTCTGGTTAGAAAAAAGGAAGGCAGAGAACTAACATCTGTGCCTCAAGCATCTGGCTTCTTCATCACCCTCTCTGGGTCTCAACCTCACCTATCTGTGCTTTGTAGTATCTTTTCATTTTCTGGCAGGTCCCCTTGTGCACAAGAAGACTTTGGTTTACCAAAACCGCTCCACAGTGACTCTGGGCAAGTCCGCTCCTTTACCGTTAAATGGGCTTTTCTCCACCACCCTCCCTGCTCTTGGCCAGATCAGCTCCTCGTAGATTCCCCACCTTACTTGCAAAAGTCGGGTGCTCAGGCTGGAAGGGGGAAGAGCCGCGTTCGCCCGCTGCCTCTCGGACTGCCTCACTCCTCCTTTCTCTCTGTGTGTGTCTCTGCCCTGGATTGGGGAGGAGACAGCCTTCTGGCCATCGGATTTCCTGGCTCAAAGCAGCACTGGCGTGTGAGCAAGCATATGTGCCTCACGAATGTGTGTGTGTGTGCAACACACACATACAAACCCACACCCAGAACTCATTCACTCCCTCCTTGGTTTGGAATCACGGACCGTCTGACACAACTGCCATGAGATCATAAATGGGAATGGCTGATAACCATCTTGGCACTCAACGAATGATGCTTCTGTTCCAAGCCTCTTGCCCTTTTTTCTTCTCGTCCTCCCCCTTCTTCACCCCTGTTTACAGATTCTGAACGGTGGCCCACATCTACCATAACTTTTGATCCCTCATGGGCATCTTCTTCCTGGTGATGGTTCCGGGTGGTGTCTTAAAAGCTACATCACACGCAAACATGATCTCTGGCAGGGATAATGTTATCATATAGAGGGTAGTGCAGACTCTTCCCCTTTTGAGGACGTGAACAGGACAGCCTCTACAAGGCCCATCCTTCCCTGCCATGTATTCCCAGCAAAACTGACAGGGCTGCCCTACTGATTATTCAGTAGATCTACTTGGCTTACCCATACAGTGACCCTGCGTCCCTTATTACAGAAGACAGTTCTTTATTTCAGAAAATAAATTTAATTATTTATTTTCTTGGGTTTGCTCCTGAATTTTCCTGAGTAAAGCAAAGTTATAAACCTAAACCATTATTATTATTATTATTATTATTATTATTATTATTATTATTATTATTATCCTTATGAATCTCTTTCAGATTTGCCCCTTTTTCAGGCTGGTCCTTTATTTTTTCCAAGAACATATGGTCCCTGTACATATACATAACCTTAAAGGAGGGGCAGTCAGTTCCCCTTTTACCCCATCG